CTTTTTCTTTTGTAAGAAAGCATATTTTAAAGTTTACATTTGTTGTTTCAGATGAGGTAGCCAAGGTGGTGATCTTGGCGGGATGCAGGGCGGCGGTGCGCCCGCCGCGGACGCCGACCAGGCTCAGTTTGAGGCCGACAAGAGGGCCGTGTATAAGTACGTTAAAATCTATATAATAATAATTTATTTCTATAGTTTTTTTTTTTAAGGGGGGAAAATCATCGAATGACTGCTCCCGCCTGGGTGAGGCGGAAGGGAGTGTCAGACTCTTATTGACTAAAAACCACCCCGTTCCTTCTCCTGCACGTCGAGCCGGAGCCCCGGTTACCCGTTAGGTTCTCCGCGACTCCGAATCGGCATCGGCCCTATTGGGCCCCATCTGTGGTGGTCTGATGGCTCTTTGAGGCGCGCGCGGAACGCGACGCGCCGTACGCTCGGGTCTGTTTCTGGTCGGACGGGGAGCCACCCATGCTCGCCGTCCGCAGGCCCGCGCTTACGGTGGCCGGAGATCGTCTCGCGATCCCCGACGCCTGGTGTGTCCTTCGCAATGGCTGGGTTGCGAGGAGGCAGCGCTTCGCTGCCCCGGGCGTTTCCTCCCGCCCCATCAGACACAGGTACCTCCCGAAACTTCCATGTCCGGTGAGGATCTGCGTCAGGCGGTAGGTGAGGACGCCGTAGCGTCTCTCAAGCCACTCCTCAAAGAGGGGACTTACCGCTGCAATGGCAGCGAGCCCAATTCCTATAGTTTAGGATAGTATAATCTTTGCAGATAAATACAATTGGAATATCTGTTTGTAATATTAAAATAACCGCGTTTTACTACATGCATATGAGTATACATACGATACCCATACTAAAATATATTTTTTACTTTTTTTGTTTGTCTCTCTGTTTGTCTGTTTGTACTAGCCGATCTCTGGAATGGCTGGACCGATTTTCACGGGACTTTTATTGGCGGGTAGCTGATGTAATAAGGAGTAACATAGGTTAATCTTATCTTATACTTCTTATATCTACTATTATATAAAGCGGAAGAGTTTGATTTTTTGTTTGTTTGTTTGAACGCGCTAATCTTCGTAACTACAAGTCTGATTTGAATAATTCTTTTTGTGTTGGATAGCGCATTTATCGAGGATGGCTATAGGCTATAAAACATCACGTTACGACCAATAGGAGCTGAGCAGAGCGTGTAAAACAAAAACGCTTTATATAATGGTAGGTATAAGATTACTAAGCATTAACTCTTGACTTCCAGACATCCACTATTCCCCCTACTGGCACTCCTCCTGGAGAGATGCGAGCAAGCGACAGCAGGGGCAGAGCCTCCTGCGGCCGAGGCCTTCGGCGCAGACCTACAGGCCTTCGTCCAGCATCAGAGACGAGACCGAAGGCCCTTCCTCGTGGACGACCCCGAGATAGACGGACTTATGATTAAAAGCATTCAGGTTTGATAACAAAATGTGTTTTTGTATCTCTTTGTACTGCGAATGCCTCGTTGGCCAAGTGCGACTAGGCAAGGGGTCTCGGGTTCGATTCACGGGTCGAGTAAAGTATTATTGGTTTTTATCTCAGTAGTAAGCATAGAGTCTGAAATCGTGCAATAGGCTCACCCCCTGTTACATGGGACTCATAACATAAATAGTGAAAGTGGGTATTACATTGTACAGTGCCGTAATGTGCATTTCTACCTACCTCTTCGAGGATAAAAAACGTGATGTTATGTCATGTAATTACCCAATTTGTAACTAGAAATCAATTCACTGAGCTTAACACACGTTCTCCCAATTCCAGGTGCTAAGGATTCACCTCCTGGAGCTGGAGAAGGTGCAGGAGCTATGTCGAGACTTCTGTGGGAGGTACATTGCGTGCCTCAAGACTAAAATGCAGAGCGAGAACCTGCTGCGGACTGATTATTCTTCTGGTAGGTGTAATTTACCAAATCCCCAAACTTCAAATCATTAATTACCAAATAGCCAATCACCAATCCCTAATCTCCAATTCTTATCTCTTAATTTTTAAATGCACGGTTGGTGCGGTGTCTGGGCTACCGACTGCCGTGCAACGTGTCGCGGGTTCGATTCCCGCACGGAACAACTCTTTGTGTGATCCACAAATTATTGTTCCGGGTCTGGGTGTCATGTGTATGTGAACTTGTATGTTTGTAAACGCACCCACGACACAGGAGATAATCCTAGTGTGGGGCAACGTTTAAATAAAAAATCCCAAATCCTAAATTTAAAATACTCATTCACTAAATCAGTAACCCTCAAAAGTCCAATAAAAATTAGATCCGTCTGCCTGTCTGTTCGCTCGCATTTTTTGTGGGATATAAGTCAAACGAGCAGACGGATCACCTGATGGTAAGCAATCGGCGCCGCCCATGGACACCCTCAACACTAGGAGACAAAGGCGTTGGTTGTTTCTTAGAGGGGAAGATTGGTCTCCGGTAACCTCAACCACACGTAGCAAAATCTGATCTTCTTTTTTTCTTCTTCTCCTCTTATAATATCTTCTGATTCACTTCGTTGCGGGAACCAAGACAGTTACTCATGTCCCTGAGACGCGCCGGACTTCAGTGTTCCGGTGTTTTCATGGTTGTATCTACTGTAGATCCTGGCTTACAGGAGTTGCAGCGGTTTTGGGAGGTTGTGGCTGGCTTGTCCCATAAGAAATTCAAATTATTAGTTTGAAATCGCTTACCCGCATTGAGCAACCGTGGTGATTAATGCTCAAACCTTCTTCGTATGAGAAGAGATCTTTGCTCAGTACTGGGTGAACTCTTGAAACCAATCTCAATGTCAATGCAATTGCAATCCAATAAAATCTCAATAATTATTCAATGTCAACACTATACAACCACAATCGTAGCTGTCACAATAACATTCAGAGTAAGTACGGAATATAAAGCCAAACTCAATACCATTTAGTTCATTCAATACCCACGCAATACGGATGCAATGGGCGCTAGTGTTACAACTCAAGAGTAAGAAATATCACAATGTCAATATCGATCGATCGGAATTGGATTCAAGAGTAAGTCCACTGGTCACTTATGATACTTTAATTGTCTTGGCCACTTCAGCAGCGGGCTCTTATAGGATTATAAATATAATTATATTGTTTTACTTTGTCGAGTATACTCAACCGGTTTCAAGCCACACCGGGGCCCATAGAAATCGTCAATCGTTTAATAGAGTATTGTTTTCGTTTGCAGGTGGTGTAGAAAGCAACAACAATCTATCGGGGTCTATAGACGAACACTCGAGCACGTCCAACTCGCCACAATATCAGGTATGAAATGTATGTTAACTTTTATTGTATTTATCCATATTTCTACATTAATTTTGATATTGCTATGGGCTGCCTCGTTGGCCGAGTGGTCGCTAGTGCGACTGCCGGGCAAGGGGTCTCGGGTTCGATTCCTGGGTCGGCCAAAGTATTGCTGGGGCTTTTAAAAAAAATCTCAGTAGTAGCACGGAGTTTGACAATGTGCCTGGAATATAGCACTAGGCTCACCCTCTATTAAAAGTGGAAAGTGGTTGTTACATTCTACCTACAGTGGCCTTAAGTGTCTGTCTACCCCTTCGGGGATAAAAGGCGTGATGTTATGTTTTGATATTAATCAAAGTTTGTCAGCACTTGTATCTTTACCGTGGATGACCTAAGACGTAACGAACAATGCGAGCTACTGTTCTTTTTCTCAATAGATGGCGCAAATGTATGAATGAGAGTTTTCGTGGCTATTATGCGGCAAAATATAAAAAAATACGTGTCTGATATTTTTTCATTACCTAACTGACTTCTTATTCGTAACTTATTTTGCAGATATATTCTTCTGTGAACTTTTTCAGTGATTTTAAAATTATTTATATTTTTGCTTGACAATAATACGTAATGTCCATTGGTTCCAGTCGCCCCCCGCCCCGCTGGTGTCGGCTCAGTTCCCGGCCGTGTACCCGCCGCACACAGACCTGCCTTATGCGCCGGCGCAGCGGGACACACGTATGTTTATTTATTTATTTTAAAACTTTGGATATTTATGAGGAAAAGGTTAAACTGTGGCACAATATTTTAGACTCGAATGTTAATATTAAGAATAATTTATAATGTATTATGTACCTACGGGATTAATCTGTGTCGTCTATGAACACCTGTATCACCGAAGGACTTACCAGTGCGTAGCTGGTCAACAAAACTGGACTGCACAGTTGGCGGGGATGCCGCGCAACGTGTTGCGGGTTCGATTCCCGCTCGGAACAACTCTTTGTGTGATCCACAGATTGTAGTTCCGTGTCTGTGTGTGTATGTGAACTTGTATGTTTGTAAATACACACGACAGAAGGAAATCCTAGTGTTGGGCAATGTATTATAAAAAAAAAGTATTCCTAAAGAGACTGGAGGCAGCTATTCAAAGGTGCAATACTGTCGGGTAATTGTTAGAAGTTATTACTGTGTTTTTAGCATGGGCAGCAAAATGCTCATAACGCGCCCACTCTAGAGTTAAGAATAGTACTGTTTAAACTGTCAAACACCAAGCGGTCACCGGTGACCGCAACCTATTGTTCTATAATTGTGTCTACAAAACCGGTACTCGACGAGTTAATCCTCTTTAGCTTCTTTATCAACGATTATAAAAAATCCACAATAATAGTTCACAAAAAAACTAGTCTCTAAACATCGGAAATAAGGTCTATAATCGAGTAAGTGGAGAGCGATCACCGGTTACCGCTTGTGGACTCGGCAGTTAGTACTAGTATGTTCTGGGCGGATACTCTTGAAACCAATCTCAATGTCAATGCAATTTCAATCCAATAAAATCTCAATAATTATTCAATGTCGACACTATACAACGCCTATCGTAGCTGTTACAATAGCATTCAGAGTACGGAATATAAAGCCAAACTCAATACTATTTAGTTCATTCAATATCCACGCAATACGGATGCAATGGGCGCTAGTGTTGCAACTCAAGAGTACGAAATTTCACAATACCAATGTCGATCGATAGGAATTGAATTCGAAAGTAAGCCCCCTGCCCCCTGGTAGTCATAATTTGATATTTTATATCTTTAAAGTGTTATTTATAAAACTGTTTTCTTTAATTCTAGCGTCCCTAGTAGTCCAGGGTTCGACGCCGATCAGTCAGATAGGTGCGGGGCTGCTCTCAACTGACTCATTTACTGGTAAGTTCAACTTGCTCTCATCATCATCATCATCGTCAACAGCTTATAAGTGAGTTATGTTTCTGCCAGCGACAGAGGGTGCAAATGGAAACTATGATCATTTTACTAAATTTATTATAATTAAAATTACATTATAATTCCTAAAGTCTAACTAACCTACGAGCGAATGCGTTCGATATTAGAACGACACTGATTTCTTCTCTTAAAATTATTTCGAAAGAAGGTTTTCAATAAATCCTATTGAGGTTAAATTTAGTGGGGTGATTGATGATGCAGCGATTCGCAGCTGGGCACGAGGCGGTGACATGAGGAGACGACTCAGCAGTTTAGGTGTTGCAATACTTCGTTGCATCAAAGTTGGTCTAACGTCCTGATTCAGCAGATATGCTCCTCGTGGCACCGATACGTAACAAGTGGCTAACAAAAAAATCAAACAGTTACTACAACAGAAGACAAACAAAAATGTACCTACGTCACAATAAAATAAATAACTCGACTGACTATAATTTTGATTGAATTTGATACTAAAATCGCAACAGTTGTTCGTTGGGATTTTCTACCCATGTTAAACTGTCAAACACCAAGCGGACACCGGTGACCGCAACCTATTGTTCTATAATTGTTGTATAATGACGGTACTCGACGAGTTAATTCGCATGTAAACATCATATGTGTGATGTAGAATTTTGTGACGTCATACGTTGATTTGTTTCATTGATAGTCCATGTGAGTGAAGAGCCCCTTTGTGGTTCGAAACTAGTAGAGATTTTCGCAGTAGGTATATTCACGTGAGTAACCCGCGATTTTTAGGTAATTTACTATGTCTCAAAGTCAAAGTCAAAGCATTTATTTCAATTAAACCATAGTTTGGTACTTTTGAAACGTCAACAAATACAAAATAAATAATAGTCTGTCAGTTAGTCCGTCAGTGAAGCTAGGTGAAGCTAGGTGCTCATTCCAAAACGTAGATTCGAATGGAGAAGAACGAGCAAGAAACTCTATTCGTTACTCTTTTAAAAAAGTATGTTCTACAATGTCTCTGATACATATTTCAATACTGTACGCATATGTAAGAACAATGCAAAGACACGCTTGACGCATTATACTAAAAAAAATGAAAATCTTAAGTCTAACATGGTGCTCACATATGCATACTGACAATCCATAGAAATAGTGCTTCTATACAAGAAAAAGGAAACTGTTTGTTTCAATAAAGAAAGAAATGCTCGATGCCATAAGGAAACTCACGATAGTTATTATAAAAACACATACTAAATTAATTATTATGTTTTCGGTAATGATTTGACGAGGAACTCTGACTAGTTTCAAGCCATGCTAGAGGCTCATATTCATGAGTAGCATTCAACATGCGACTGTCGCGCTGCTACTGAAACTAGTCGAGAACAGTGACGTGAGTGGTATAATAATACATACTATTTTTTTTATAGGTACGAATTCCAACAATTCATGTTCCTCTGTATCCGGTTCCCCACCCCCCGAGGAGGAGTGTACGGACGAGGGGGGCAAGCGGGGGGTACTACCTCGACATGCCACGCAGGTCATGAGGGCCTGGCTGTTCCAGCATCTTGTTGTGAGTATTTATCATTGTCTATATAATGATTATTACTTTCGCGCGGTTTCATCCGCTCTGCTCGGATCTTATTGGTCGAGGCGTGATGTTTTATAATCTACTAGCTTTTACCCGCGGCCTCGCTCGCGTCACAAAAGGATAAAAAGTAGCCTATGTGACATATACACACAGCGCCCTATACAAATGATTTCATTTTATCTCGAGAATATCAAATTTTTCCGGGATAAAAAGTACCCTATTATTTAATCCGGACTTCTAACTTTACGTCTGAAAAAATTGAAAGCAATCGGTTTAGTGGTTACGGCGTGAAAGCGGAACAAACAAACAAACTCACTTTCCGATTTATAATAGAGTAAGGATAGTATTTCTTGATAAATGCACTATCCAGCATTAAAAGAATGATTGAAATCGGTCCAGTACTTTTTTTTTATGGAACAAGCTCGCCACAACCTCCGAAAACCGCTGCAACTCCTGTAAGCCAGGATCTACAGTAGATACAACCATGAAAACACCGGAACACTGAAGTCCGGCGCGTCCCAGGGACATGAGTAACTGTCTTGGTTCCCGCAACGAAGTGAATCAGAAGATGTTATAAGAGGAGAAGAAGAAAAAACTATAGTTTCCACTTCCCTCGGTGAATTACTGCAGGAGACAGAATGAATTAAGCCTAAAGGCCAGTAGTTATGGATATAAACGATCTCCGGCAACCGTAAGCGCGGGCCTGTAGCGTCCGACCAGAAACAGACCCGAGCTGACGGCGCCCAGGGGGCCGCGACACAAGGACACATCAGACCACCACGGATGGGGGCCAACAGGGCTGATACCGATACGGAGTCGCGGAGAACCTAACGGGTAACCGGGGCTCCGGCTCGACGTGCAGGAGAAGGAATGGGGTGGTTTTTAGTCAGTAAGAGTCTGACACTCCCTCCCGCCTCAGCCGGGCGGGAGCAGTCATTCGATGATGACGATTCCACCCTCAAAAAAGTCAAGTTATGGAGATTAGCGCGTTGTTACACGAACACTTTAGCTTTATACATGCATACATACATACATACATATGTAAATATACTAGTATGAATAGTAATAGTCGTGGATTATGTTAAACTGTCAAACACCAAGCGGTCACCGGTGACCGCAACCTATTGTTCTATAATTGTGTCTATAATGACGGTACTCGACGAGTTAAATAGTAATAGTCGCGGTGGCCCTCATGCTTATGACGCCCGCTTCTCATGCATCAGGGTTCGAAACCTACCAACGGCAAGTACCAATGTGACTTTTTCCGAGTTATATGTACTTTCTAAGATTATTTAGACACCACTGACAAACGGCGATGGAAAACATCGTGAGGAAACCTGGACTTATAATTTCTAATTATAAGTTTGAAATCGCCAACCCGCATTGAGCACGCGTGCTGATTAATGCACTTATTGATTGTTGATGTTGATGCCTCGTTGACTGAGTGGTCGCAAGTGCGACTACCGGGCAAGGGGTCTCGGGTTCGATTCCCGGGTCGGCCAAAGTATTACTGGGTTTTTAAAAAAATCTCAGCAATAGCACGGAGTCTGGAAATGTGCCCGGTATATGGCAATATGCTCACCCCCTATTACGTGGGACTCATAAGATAAATAGTGAAAAGTGGGTGTTACATTGTACAGTGGTATAATGTGCACCTCTGCCTACCCCTTCGGGGATAAAAGGCGTGATGTTATGTTGTGTTAAAAAAAAAAAAAAAAATTAAATAAAATTTATTAAAAACAAAAAAAAAATAAAATAAAATTTATTAAAAACAACATAGAACACATTTAGAATTACAGTTCGCTCAGATTTTATAGTAATAAAAAGTCTTAATAATAACACTCGTAATAGTTTACTTAATCTAGTCTTATACAATATACATGCGAGGAAATAACGTTCTAAGTATACAATATATAGGGATTACCCGAACTAGGTTTATTTAAACCTGTGTTTCAGGCTATCAATGCCAAAAAAAATGATTTGATGGATATAATTATAAATAAAAATCGTATTGCACAATTATTTAAAGACCAAGCAAGGACAACCTGTCCTAAATTATGAAACAAACAACACTATACTAGTTAATATGTAGATTTATCGATTTATGTGTTAGATTGTTGGTGATGATGTCTATCTCCAAATCCCCAGCACCCATACCCGACAGAAGAAGAGAAGCGCACCCTGGCGGCACAGACGCGACTGACTCTGCTGCAGGTCAACAACTGGTTCATCAACGCGCGCCGACGGATCCTGCAGCCCATGCTCGACTGTGCTGATAAACCTGGTGAGTCCGACTCGACTAGTTCATAAACATGTTTAATATACTACATCTGTACATGTAATACTGACTGCCTCATT